AGGAAAGGACGTTAAATAAATTTAGTTCATTCTTAAATTCTTATATTGGTAAGAATCAGGTGTAGGTAAGGATCAGAGTTTCATGCATGTGAGATTTAAATTATGAGACATGTGAAATGAAATCTTGAAAAAGTGCATGCTAGAAATAGTCATTGACTCTTTGTTTTCTTCTTGTTGTTTGTTGCTGTTGTCACTTTAAAAAGTGTTGAGTTAGGTATAAAATCATCCATATTTTCATCTGGATTTTTATTGGTGTGACATAAAACACAGTGTTTGAATGATTGATTATTATCTGTGCTTCATGGTTTCTGATATAGTATGGGAAAGTGTCATAAATACCAGCATCTCTGTTTTGTTCTGTTGTCCTACCGCTTTCTTTCCACTCGTAAGTTACCAGATAGATTTTGTTGGGGCGGGAGGGATCCTCATGGTGCCTCTGGCCTTGTCAGTTGCCATTTAGCTCGTGACAGCTCCTCATCCATGAATTCCTTGAGTTTGAATGGGTGTTTTATGCAGGGTGTCCTCTGTCTGCTGCTGCTAAGCTAATAGAGCTCTAATAAGAGTGTGCTGCCTTTGCAGCTGAATGATTCTGTCTGTGCCTTGCGCAGAGGGAGTTGCATCTTGCCAGGGAGCACAGTGCTGCTTACATAAGGAAGGAACGGGCACGAGTGCAGGCCCTGTTGCTGTAATTCTCTCTTCCTCCTCCACACCGCCAGCAGGGGCTTACAACAGGGAGCACCGCCTTGCTCACCCAAATCATGAGGGAGAGAGATATTTCAGGAGAGAGTATTAGAAAAATCTATAGCTCAGCTGACCCAAAGCCTGACTGCAAACACTGTTAGGCACAAGAGATTTCAAGAGACTTGAAGGTTGAGACATTAACAGTATTTGAACAATTCTCTATTTAAATTGAAATTTTATTACCTTTGATATGTACTTGGCTAGATTGCTTTTGGTGCTTCTTGGTGTCCTTTTTTTTTTTTTTTTTTTTTTTTTTTTTACCCCTCCTATCGTGCGTTAGACAAACTGCGAGAATGCAGACAAAATACTCTTTTGACAGTATGTAATGAGTTAAGTGCTTCCAGTTTAATTGAATTGACACTTGACTGTCTCTCTCAAGCTGTGGTGGAATAGTGCTGATTTATGTTGCCACTGGGCAAATGTTATAATCACAAAACCTGGAAAATTACAGTAGCTTTTGCACCGTTTCTTCACAATTGATGAATGCAGTGCTTTAAACTGAGCAACTGCTCAGTGAGGTTTATTATTTATAGAAGGATGCACTCCTAAAGAATAGCTTGTTTTTTCAGGAGATTTGTTAGTCTCAGCATTTGCTTTGTGGTGCATGCATATGTTCTGTTCTGGGTTTAGTGTTTTACAGCATTAATTTTCTTTGGCTTGCTTTGTGGCTAAAGCCAATGCACTTAAGAGCATTTTTTTTTCTGACATAAGTAAAGAAAATCATATAGGTAGGATTCATTGCTGGATTTCTCAGAAATTCAATAATGTGAGATGCTACTTTGATTTGTTATGATAAGAGGTATTGATATAAATAGTGTATTCATCTGATTATTCTTCTAACAATAAAAGTCTGTCAAACTGTTACTTCATTTTTATATAGAAATGACTGTAAGACTAATTCAAATAATACTTAATGAGGTATTGAAGCCAAACTGGAAAATTTAAATATATCTCTTGATTGTTACTTATATTATCAACAATGTCTTTTTGTTTTTTCCAATTCCAAATGGAACATGACATTTATGTCCTCATCGTTGCAAATTTCTTGAATTCATTAGAGATAATATTCTGAATGTTCTTCCTTGTTACTGGAAGAATAAAATAAAAACTCAGTTACTGCTTATCGTACAATAAGGAGCTTTGGAACTCTCAGAAATATCCTATATTTGGCAGGTAGTAAAAGATCAACTTATAGTTGAGCAAGTATGTAAATGAGGGAAAAAAAGATAATTATTTTGTCTTTCCTTTGACTACTTCAGACAAAATGTTAGTAAGAAATGAATTCATGTTTCAGCTCTAACCTGTGTTAGATATCAATCCTGTCTTTTGAGTAAAATGAACTCTTAAAGTTCGGTAGGTCCAAACTGAGCCATTCACACCATGTGTATGTACTTAGAGCAGTTTTCAGCCTGAAGGTCTTCAGTACATGAGCCTTTGAAGATTCTGGAATCAAACCTAAATTTATTTGCTGTGTGTTGAGGCCTTGAGATTCATTTCAGCAATGTGAGTCTTCTGCCAAGCAAGCCTTGGCAACCCACTCCTTCAAACTAGAGTTGCTGATCCCTAGGACCCAGTCCTGACTCCCCAAGCTTCCCTCTTATGCTCTCTGTGAAAGTCAAAGATTTGACTTTGCTTAGAGTTGCAAAGTTTTATTTAGTTTTGTATTTAAAGAATATATAAGGCATAAGCAACTGATTTTTTAAAAAGATGCCCTCTACCTCCTCCTCTTTGGAAACTCATGCCTTTAGGAGGGAGAAGAGCCAGCAGGCAGCTCAGGCCTTGCAATAGATCTCTCATGAGCTAGTATGGAGAAATGCCTGACAATGTGGTATGAGGGTGTGATATGCCAAAGCCTAGCCTGTTTCACTCTTAGGATTTGCTTTTGTTATCCTTTTCTGTTTGTCTTGGTGATCTTATTTTTCTCTGCACTGTTTCCTTATTTTCGATTAAATCGTGAAGTGCTCCTTCACATTTATCTCTTTTGAAGCATCACAGAGGTTTTTCATTAATCTATAATTCTTTTTAAGTCTTGTTTGAATTACGTAAGAAAGTATACAGAGCAATCAGTTTTGTGGTTGATATAGTTACAGATTTTTAATGAAAATTCTACAGAAATTTTACTGACAAGTAAACATGTTGGCAATCTTACTCAGATGTTATTGAACACTTTGGTTTTCCTGTGTTTAAAATTTTAGAGGAGGAATATGAGCACCTTCGATTATTTCAAAGACAGACTTTGTGAGTTCAGTTGCTTAGGCATCATTTTTGTGTGTTGTCTGGTGTCTTTGATCTCAAAAGTGAATGTTTTAAGGTAATAATCTCTTTGGCTTGTGAAGAAAATGTAAAGGTCTTTTTAAAGTCATGAATTGTATCATTTTTTCAGTTGTCAGTTTTGAGTGAAAGGTCAGGCCTTGACAGGACCCTTCGATAGGATTGAACAGTTGCTCCTTTTTCCAGAGGAGAGGAAAGCTTATTACATTAAGTATTCATGTAGTCCAGCTATTGGGGTAGATTTTTCTTTCACTTCATTTTATGTCATGCCTGTACTTAAATAAATGGATTTTGTGTATTTTATTCAACTCAGAATACTTATCTGAGAAACACTTGAATTACAGTGTATTGTAATCAAAGGTGTGTTTTTTAGCTTTTGAAGGATTGTGAAGGTTTCAGGGAAGGAAAAAAACAGTGTCTGCATATGCCATGAATTTACAGCTGAGAATTCTTTGAAGGATGCAGTAGACTTAAGTTTATGCACATTAAAGATTTGTGATGCCCAGGCTAATTATTTCCTCTCTGACAAAAAGATGCAGAAATTTTGCAAAACAAGAGGTTATCAGGACTTGGATGGTCCAGAAATGAGAAGTCTTAAGTCCTTATAAGGTTGTTTTCAATTTTAATTTTTCATCCCCCAAATATTTTCCTAGAATATTTACTGGAGCTTCTTCAAGTACGAGCTCTTTAGATGCATTATGAGAGTCTTTGTGAAAAGCTGAAAAGTTGATCAAAACTGCTGCTCTTCTTAAGTGATGTTTTGACTAAAACTACGTTTCGAGGTAGATCTAGTATTCTGCAGGAATACTATATGAATATGAATTGTTTGCTTTTCTCGGAAGGAAGAGTTCTGTAAACTATTAGCTGTTTCTTTTGAAAATTTCTTACAAATGTAGTCAAAACTGCTCACTTGTGCAAGGTGAAATCATCACCTCATGCATAGCTATGTAATAAAATCAGTGTTTTCGGTTTTTTTTTCTTTCCTTTTTTTTTTCCCTCTGTTGTGATATGGGTACATCTTTTTCTGTTGTGGTGATGGGAAAAAACGAAGCATGAGCCAACAGTTTTTTTTTTTTATTGTTATTTTATTGTAATTGAAGTATCCCACACTTTTTATCTCTCTTTTGCCATTTTTTTTTAAATATTACCTTTTATTTTCCTAATCATATGGTACCTTCTCAAATGTATAGTTTGTTAATATTTTTTGGAACCTGTCATTTTCAATTTCTGTTTCCTGGATAATCTGAAAAGTACTTAAGATATAAGGAAAATATTAGCAGGACCTACTTCAGCTATTTGAGCAGTAGGATTTGAAAGGTTCCAGCCTGTTTATCTGAAGTTACATGGCCATGTTCAGAGCAGGAAAACTGCATAGGGTCAGTTCTACAGTGCAGACCTGTGTGATGAGTTTTACTGGTAGGTCTCTGTCAGCTGCTGGAACCATAACGTTTGGTTTTACAGCTATAATGTGACTGATGAAGGTTTTAGTTCGCCAAAAGTAGAGGAAGGAAAAGATGCCTGAATAAGTCTTCCAAAATAGAAAAGAAAAAGAGAGAAAACCTGCTATGCTGTATTATTTTTTTTTTTCTAGAAACACATAGTGTAACGTTACTTTTAATAGTAACTGTAATGCTTAGCGTATTTGATAGCATTTTATGTTGTTGCAGACTGGATGAGATATTTATGAAATGGAGAAATAAGTGATTTAAAATTACCAGGAAAACGTATTTATTCTGACAACCAGCAGTTCCTTGAGTGGATATATTCCATAGTTTGCAAGTTGATGGAAGCAGATAAGTACTTGTCTTTCATGACAGAGATCTTCAAGATCCAGTGAAGTCAGAATCTTGTCCAAGGGTGATTCTGGCAGTCAAAATCTTAAGTCAAAATAGTTTCTGCTTAAAAAAAAATCTTTATTATAAATTATAACTAAATGAAATAAAACATTTTACCAAATGTGTTGATGCTTATTTTCCAGATGCCGTTCTGACACTGGATATAGAGAAAAACAACTTTCACTACCAATTACCGAACTTCCGCAAGTGTGAGATCTGTTTGCTGTCTTTTCCAAAAGAGACCCAGTTCCAGCGCCATATGAGGGATCATGAGCAAAATGACAAGGTATGAATACTAGCAGATGTAAACTTAGAGAGTACTGGACTATATTGATATGTTCATGTATTGACAAGTAAAGCTAGTACAAGTATTTCAATATAGGAAATCATATTTGGGATTTTCTTTAGTTGTGTCACTAGTGATTACCACTTGGAGACTTTGGACCATGGAGAGAAACCAGGCTTTGGTAGATTTTAGTTAGCATCTTGTTGCCAGTAATTTTTAGCTATCACATAGCCATTTTCTTTGATTTATAGTGTTCAAGTAGATAAGTATGTATCATTTCCTTTTAAATGAATTTGTAAACTGATTCCGTACATTAGCAATAAAAAGAAAATAATATTTATATTGATTAGCTGGACTCAGCTGCTCTCTTACAGTTATTTTCAATAAAGTCAGAGTTTATAGTCCTGTGTGTTTTTATTCTGTTGACTAATGTCCTCGGTCAGTTGCTTATAAGTCAAGTTTGGGAAAGAATGGCAGAAAGACAGCTTTGTGATTAAGATTCTCCGATTTATTAAATTGAGGTTTTGCCACAGGTTTCATATGTAATCTGAAGTATTTTATTTAGTTTTTGTTCGTTGATTTCTATTTTACAAAGCTAGATCTATGTTAAATATAATGGAAGAGTGATTTTAATAATGTTTGAAGATGTGATAGATCTATGATAATTCTTTAAAAAAAATCTGAAATGTATTTTGGCTCTGCCTATTTATGGATTAACAAGTGTGATGTTGTAAAGATAACTCCTCCTCTACCTTTTTTAAATCTGACATCATACTTCCAGTTATTCCATACTTATGTAAGAGCTATTGTATGTAAAAGGGAAGATGCTCCTTAACAATGAAAGCTATGTGCACAAGCAAGGAGCAGGTAATCCTACTATAAACTGTGATTGCCGTTCTCAGAGGGCTCTTCACTTCACTGGTTGGACTCTTAATTGAGCTTAAGGAAAGATAAGTATCTCAGTGAATGTAGAAAATGTATTACTGGTTCTTCCAATGGCTCATTCTTCTCTCCTGCTACTTTCACTCTTCTCTGAAGAGTTTTTGAATATCCGTTTTCTTTAATTCTCCTATCATCTTTGCCCAAATAGTCTTGGAATGTTGTGTGAGTGTTTTCAGTAATGAAACCCCCCCAAAAAAAAACAGTTAAACCTGTTTGGTATATTTTTAGGCATCATTATTGGATGCAGGTTCTCCTTAAATTTTTTTTTGATTTGCATGCTGCAAGTGTTGCCTATGTATGTAGTGTATGTGAAGAATGAATTTTGTATTTATCTTCGCTATTTTCACAAACAGCCTCATCGATGTGACCAGTGTCCAATGTCATTCAACGTTGAATTCAACTTGACACTTCATAAATGTACCCACAATGGTGAAGATCCTACATGCCCTGTGTGCAACAAGAAATTCTCCAGAGTAGCTAGTCTGAAAGCTCATATAATGCTGCATGAGAAAGAAGAGGTAAATAATTAAACCCCGTAATTCAATTTGTAAAAGGATGAACATGTTATCATGTCATTCTTAATCCTTAGCTATATGCTGTCAGAAATAATGTATGCCTTCTTGTGTGTGAAGATAACTTGAGATAAAGTGGAGGTAACTATGGTAGAATTTCAGCTGGAGAGTAAGTAACAATCTCTGTAGTTTTAACTAATAAGCAAAAATTCAAATCCTGAATCTAAAATTACATTTTTTTCTTAGAAAATTTTGTGTTTTTTTGTTTGTTTTCAAAATTGTTTATGTAATAGACTATAATCTAAAGGGTATTAGGGTATTTCCTTGTGTATTTTCAAATAGTCTAGCAAGAAATTAGAGTGGTGTTCATGGCACTGATAAGAACTTCTTCAGAATTCAGTTTTTGTGGATTTCTTAAGAAGGAAATTATACCATAAACATGCCCTGATTATTGTTCATGATTTATCATAGGGACATACAAACTTGTTTCGCTTTTATTGCTGCTTGATTCCAGCTCCTATGCTCATAAGAGGATACATTCATCTATTAGAACAAAGCCTGAATATGTGCTGTTCTTTGTGAATATTTTTTTAAAAAAAATCTGTCTCCATTATCTCTTTCAGAATCTTATCTGTTCAGAGTGTGGAGATGAATTTACTTTACAGAGTCAGCTATCTATACACATGGAAGAACATCGTCAAGAGTTGGCTGGCAGTAGGATCCACATCTGCAAATCTTGCAAAAAGGAATTTGAAACTTCCTCACAGCTAAAGGAGCATATGAAATCTCACTTTAAAATAAGGTGACAATTACTTGAATTTAACAAAGTGAGCAGATGTTAGTTTTATGGTGAGAGCTAGGAAGAACAGGGGTGGCTTTTCCTGTCAGCAGCCTACTCTTTATGGAGATCATTTTTTTTCTTTGATGTGGTGCTAAGAAAGAGCTTTTTTAAAAAATTCCTTGTTGAAGTAGGTGGTGATCTTTTGAGGTCCATTTTTTGCTGTTTTTAGCATTTGTGGACCCATAATAAGCATAGTTTCGTCTACTAGCTATTTCTAAATATAGATTGCTGATTGCTTTCTGAAGTACTTTTGTGTGTGATGGTTTTAGTCACTAATGGAAGTGCATTGAGACAAATGTTATTAATTTAACATAGGAGTTACTTTAAATGGAAAAATCCCAATGTGTAATTTCTGCAAAGAAATAAGTTATTCCTTGCAATTCATTTTTTTTCTCTTTTGTTTCTTGTAAATAATCGTTATTTTCCCAAGGACCTTCTCCGAGTTGGCTGTAAATCTGAAAAAGCACAGAATCAAGGGAAAAGAGGCCTAATTTTGATGAATGTTTCTATTGATATATACATTAAGGAAATGTAGGTTTCTGACAGATGATCTCTTCTTTCAATCTTTATTTCTACAAACAACAGAGGGGAACAGGATATATTTAAAAATGAGAAACATCAGATGCTTCCTTTTGTTTCTGTAAGCAGATGATAGGTATTGGAAGGCTTTAATAAGAACGTTCCAGAAAGTTCAAAGAGAAATCGGTGCAGCTTTCCATTTGCAAACTTAAAATTGAAGATTTCAAGTAGAAATTATATTTTGTTTTTATCAACTTAAGTAAATATATAATATTACACAAAATAATAGTTCTTGTGAATACCTCCTATGTAAATTAGGATGAATAAGTAAGACATAGGTGAGTGAATATAATGCGATGACAGTGATTTTGAGAGATTATTATGCATATTACGTTTTGTTCAAAGTATGCAGGATGTGAGCGAGATCTAAGTCTAGTTCTGTGATTTTGTTGCTTTTGTTAAAAATGTCCAAGAAAGAAAAGGCTTTCTCAGCAGGGAAGAGAAAAAACTTTGATAAGGTATTAATCTTTGGTGGGAAAGGATACTAAGTGATAGGAGAAATCTGTAACCTTCATTTTATGTTGCATGTGAAACAGATTTGTTTCTTTAAAAACAGCCTTTCTGATTTTTCAGAAGAGAGCAAGGCTTCATTTGCTTACCATTCGTTTTCTAAAATGGATTGTTCTTTGATCCAGAGCTTCCTTGTATGAGATTTACCTCGTTTATCAATCCAAAGGAATTGCACTTCGGTTTGATAGAGGCATGCGATAACTTTAGCATTGGCCAAGATATACAGCTATAGAAATGTTGCATTAGCATTCAAGCAACTACTGTCTATAGCTGTTCTTTACTGTCATTCTACCAGCACTACCAGGACAAGTCATGTAAGTTGGGTTAATGAGCCAGATTAATGAACTGTGTGAGTATTCATGCTCCCCCAAATCACATAGCTAATGTAGCTCAGGTCTGTGTTTCAGTTTTCCTGAATGTCCAAAGTAGAAATTTTGGAACGAAAAACGTGGAAATTCTGATTTTTGATTTAACATAATTATCTTGTACTGTTTATATGGATTAGTGAAAAGTTAATATTTTATTAATTTGTCTGACTGTGTACAGGATGTTTATTTAAGGAACATAAATCAGTAGTTAAAAGTACTATTTATGATTTCTGATTTTCATTATAAAAAAAGCTTCAAAATTTATTTTAGTGTTTAAAATTACTAGAAGCCTTCCTCCTTAAGTTTTTCAGGAAGTAGTGTACTCTTCCCTCCTCAAAGAATGTCTTCTGTCCTTTAAGAAAGTTGTCAATATAACTATACATGAGGAATTTTGGATTTAACAGAGTGGTGTAATCCTGAAGGATTATCTCTACAACTGTCTGCAAATTGGTTATGATAACATTTCTATATCGAGGTGTCATACTTGTCTGTTTAAACAGATGTCATTTCTCATTAGTTTATTCTGCCAGATCTGCCTTGAGATGGAAACAAGTTCTAAAATCCATACTCTTTTATCCTCTCCTATTTAGTCTTCAGTGGATTTACTCTGGATAATTACATAAATTTCAGCCGATGTGATTAATATGCAAAAGTAAAATCTGTGGTCTCCTCTGCTTCTGCAAGATTATGCAGAGTTTAAACACATATGTAAAATTTATTTGAAATAATCAGAGAGGAGAATGTGTTGTCCTTTAAATAGACCCTGAATATGTTCTAGAGTAGAGATTTGTTGTTTGAGTAAAAGTTAAATGACTTCATGACTTTTACACAGACTGTCTTATTTCCTGCAGTTTTTGTATTTATACCACCCTTAGTATGAAGGCAGTGATATATTTTGCATATCTGCTCCATGTTAGTTAACTCCTACTTCTTGGTTTCATAATTTTAAATACCCAATATTTTCTATGTAAATAGTGTTACTGTTTAATCAATACTGACAAACTAAGGTGCCATATAGATGTAAATATTCTGGCACTGCAGAAAATGCATAGTGTTATGGATATCATACTGGCTTTATAAAGTTCATAAAATCAATTATGATTGCTTTGTGGAGTATATAATTTATTTTTGAAGGTCAGGGTGAATATTTAGGGTGTTAAATAGTAAGCCTGTTCTTGTTTGCAGAGAATATAATTATCTATTTCTTAATTCTGGACATACTCAAATTCAAGTTAAGAAAAAACATCTTGCTATGCTGGAGCAGAAGAAATCAATTCCAAAATTCCCACCAGCATGCTAATAGTTAAGTCACTCTTTATTTATGCCTGAATTTACAGTAGAAATGTCTCTAGAAATAACTCTTAAGATATATCAGGTTTGTTAAGAAAGTAATCGTAAAACTATTGGTTATTGTACAGGTGGATTTGAATAACTGGTAATACTGCTCCTTTCATATCAATAGAAGAAAACTTACCGATACAGCTGGTATAGCATGTTGTCCCCCAATTTAATCTTTATGTTAGAAATGGTGTAGTAAAAATATCTTCTAAATAATCTGTTTAATATCAGGATTAAGATGATCTTTTTATTTATTTTTTTTAAATTCATTGCCAGGGTCTCAAATACAAGATCTTACAACAGAAACATTGACAGGAGTGGGTTCACCTATTCATGTCCACACTGTGGAAAAACTTTCCAAAAACCAAGTCAGTTAACTCGACATATTAGAATACACACAGGTAAGACCAAAGAAGCAATTGTTTTAGATGGCAGTTGTTTATGTAAAACTTGATTACTTTGTGAAATACTGAATAAATTTTTTTTGTGTGTGTTGAAATGTGAAAGAATAGTATTAATATATTTGGTAAATTATGTATTGCTACCTGTTTTGTAATATGAATCCTTCAAAGCTTTAAAGATTTTAGTTACAAAACAGGGACACAAGAGGTCAGCCTTTACCCGCTTTATGAGTTGCTTCAATAAAGTATCCAAAAAGTCATTGCAAAATAACTTTCATTTTTAGAGTCCATTCTCTGATTTTAGTTATTGTAGCTAGAATTGAAGAAATAAGTATAGACACTTTTCTAAAAATTCAAAAAGTTCAAATGCATTTGTAATTATGGAAGAAGAGAGATGTTTGTCTTTTGGAGGACTCACAGGGGGAAGATATAGTCCATATCTGCGCATGACCCTGAGAACTTATGAAGTATATCATTTTTAAAAAAAAAAAAAATCTGTAATCGGATTATCCATCCAATTGCTTGAATGTGTGTGCTTTATTTTTAAATTATGTGAGAAAGAAGAGCTCTACTTTGAAGCATTTAGAATCATGAAGTCTTGAATTTTACATTTCCCCACAGAATTAAGATTTAGTTTGTATAGTGGAAGTTACTTAAAGGCAAACTTAAGATAAAGAAATGCTTCTGTAGGCTCCCGGGTAAGTATTAGTAGAGGCTGCACATTTTGGCTATGAAATCCCAGTAGGATTTCCATTGTTGTCTTTAGCAAGAACTGAATCGCTTAAGAATTTCAACAACATAGAAGGACCCATGTCTTCAAAACCAAAAGCAGCAGTAGAGAATGTATACATTCTTTCATAGCTGATAGATTGCAAGAATTTACATACTATTTCAAAAAAAATAGTTGCTTTACTTCAAACATTTATCATTGGTAACTATTTGTAATTATAGCCATTAATGTACCTGGCAATAATATAAAAAATATTAAAGTTGCCTTCATGTGCATGATGCTTAGTGCATAGTAGAACTTACTGTTATAGCAGATATATAGTGTTCAGCAACTATAGTTTTGTTTTGCCATTAGAAGTGTTGCACCAAAACCAGGAGTTATTTTTTCTCAGGATACTGGAATTACCACAGATAAGCTATTTCACTAAAAGAAAAAGGATTGAGTTCACAACAGTGATTTCCAGTAATCAGTTAAGGTGGTAAGAAACTGAACTTTGTTCTTAATGTCTGTGTGTTTAAATTCAGCTTAGTTTTATATTAATGAAGTTACATTTTTCACTTAAGGATTTGTAGGAGGATCTTCAGGTTTAATCTGTTAGTGTACAAATACTTATGAATACAACAGTGGGAACACCAAAATTAGAAAATTGTGAAAGAGCATTCCTGTAATTAGTATTGCCTAGGAATTTCTTTACTATGTAAAATATGAAATATTTTTAAATCATGTTTTTAAATTATTTTTGAGCAGGATGCATTGTATCTCAAAAAAAGAAATTCTATTGCAGCTTTTTCATTGGGCCACTTTTGCAGTGTTGCTGTAATTACAGCTCTTTACTCAAAAATATAGCTTTTTATTTATTAATTGTTTGTTTATTCTTCTGCAACATATGACAGGTTGAAGAGAGCTGTTTTAAACAATAGTTTCATACAAGTTTCATTCAATTTATGAATTATAATTAATAATTATCAGCTAGATTTTTTTTTTCACAAAAGTACGCCTTAATCAGATATTGAAATCAGTGGCTGAGGTAAGCAATTTAATTGTCAAAACACTTCAAACATATCAGCATATATTTTTTATGTATGTATATCTGTGTGCAGTATTTTATCTGATATTCTTTTTCCCTGTAGATACACCTGATTGCAAAAAGACTTATTTAAAGCTTCTTACCTTAGTTGCTTTTTTAATTCCTTTAGGTGAAAGACCTTTTAAATGCAGCGAGTGTGGCAAAGCCTTCAACCAGAAGGGGGCCTTGCAGACCCATATGGTCAAGCACACTGGTGAAAAACCTCACGCTTGTGCCTTTTGTCCTGCAGCCTTTTCCCAGAAAGGCAACCTTCAGTCACACATACAGAGAGTTCATTCGGAGGTAAATACAATTTTTCATAAAGTGATTGCTGCTAGTGTACTTGCTTACTGGTATTTAACCTTTCCTTCCCAGTGTTTACATTGTCCTGTTTGCTATTCCGAAGCTCACCAGAGCGTTTTGTTGCCAACATAGATTCCCTGCAGTAGTGTGCATTCTAGTTTGCTGCTTTTACCTGCAAATGGAGCTTTGGCAAAACAATTTAATCTGAATCAGTAGCTACCTAGGATAAATAGGAAAATCTTAATTTACTGTTGTCTTTTAGTATGCTACTAGATAATAATCTGATAGTGTTTTCAGGTACATAAAAATGCATTTACATCAGCTTTGGGAGAATGACAAATAGAATCAGATGAAGGTAAAAACAGCAGATTCTCCAAAAGATGCAAAGCAGAAGATAGTAAGATACCAGTTAGCAGCCCATATGGCCCCATACAATCTCCTGAACAGAACTGATGATGGAACTTTGTTCCTCCCTGCCTTGGGCAATTGGTTGAACATACCCATAGAAAGAAACCTACTCTTGATTTGAAAGGAAGCAAGTAGCTAGAGGCAGCTCCCCCCCATTCCTCTGCATGCTGAGTGTCGCCGTGCTGATCATACTTAGAACTCTGTCCCAGCTGTGATTTTGGTTGGATTTTGTATCCAGCCAAAAGATTTTGTGCTTTTTCTCCACAATTTCTCAAGTGCTACCTCTTCATCGCAGTATATTGTGTTTCTTGGTCCAGAGCCTGTATTTTAGTTACTGCTTTGGCTCTTCTGTTAATTTTTCTTTCAGCTATTGCTGAGTTTTCTTCAAGAGCACATGCAGGACTCTTAATTCTTCATTTTATCCTGAAACAGTCACAGAAAACCACAAGACGTGTTAACTGAAACAGACTGATTCTCAATCTATTACTCTCCAGTTTTATATGTATTTTAGGAGTTGATACTACATTCTGAAATGTCATCATACCATTTCAAGCTTGTTGTCAGAAAATACAGTATTCCCTATTGACAGAGGTGCAGAATGTGCTCTTTTGAAGACTTTAAGCATTAAAATTCTGCGATTCTTTCTTCTTCTCTCACCATACCTTTCTAGTAATATCCCATATAATAACTTCCTCCTTTTATTTTTCAGATTTTTCTTTTTTCCCCCTTGGAAAGTGATAAAAGACTTTTGTAAAAGTAACCAGCAGGGAGGAGGGGGAAATGAAGATAACTTTTCTTTCTTTTTCCTTTGTATCTCTTGATTTTTATTTGTGTTAAATATGTATGTTATTACATTTTCAGGCAAGTCTTAATCAGTGAAGTTGCCTTTTGGATTTTATTTCTAAGTGCAATTCTAGGAAGTTGTAAGATGAGGAAAAAATCCAAGGCCTAATTTGCCATATGACATTTGTTTTGCTCTGTGGTGCTTCCTGAAATAGAGAGGCAGTCATGAGATGTCATGCACATAGATGACAGTTTACTTGATTTCAGGAAGGTATCAGACCTGTCTTATTATTGGACATCAACAGTTTGGGGAAATAAAACATTTTAGCTTTCTTTTATAGTTCCTCTAGTGAATTTATTATGCTGATAAGAAAGATGACATCAAATATATTCAGGAAAAAATATACTTGTTTTGTTTCGTTTTCTCTTCCTGAAGGTTAAGAATGGCCCTACATATAATTGTACAGAATGTAGCTGTGTCTTTAAAAGCTTGGGTAGCTTAAATACACATATCAGCAAGATGCATATGGGTGGTACACAGACTTCTGCAGGCTCATCAACAGATGTATCTCATGGTACAGCGGTAAGCCTAACTTGCTATAATATGGAAATGCTTTAAAAATTTAATTACTTTATGTTTTTATTTCTGTAATTCTGCAGGTATGTTAGAATAAAAACATTCTAGCTGTCTTATGAATATATTTTTGAAGTTTTGTGTGTCATTTTATTGAAATCAACTTACCTAGTTAAATACTGGCATAGTGCAGGATGCTTTTTGAAGAGACCTTTTTCCTTTTACCTTTTTTTTTTTTCTACTTCAAGTAGAAAAGTTCAAGTTAAAAACATGACATAAAATTTCAGTCTTTAAGGAGGACTAAAGTTGTTAAAATTTGAAAAGCTGCATTTCAAGGGTTCTAACAACATCATAAACAGAGCGAGACTTAAAATCATCTCATCAGTATTTCATCTTCATTGTGCAGTTGTATCTTGTTTAAAACAAGTGTCTAGATAGTGTTGTTTGCAGAACTGTTTTTTATTTTTTTTATTTTTTCCAAATTTCATAGCTTTTTTTATACGTTAGATCCTGTTGGTCTCTTCAGGTTAAATATTCGTATGCCTTCTTGCTTATAAATACATATAATCTCTATATCTTTTTGTAAAACCTTCGTAAGTGTAATCTTAAAAGCTAAATGGAAGAGGAGGCCATTCTGCATAGTGTTTGCAGGCCAGCTGTATTTTTCTTGATTTGTTTTCTGCGTGGATTTTTTTTTCTTTTCTTTTTCATTGCAGTATTGCTGGTGCATATTGCTGTCGCAGATGTGTACTGCCATTAACTTTTTTCCTGTATCTCTACAGGACTCTGTCACCCAGCCTCTGACACCATCTCCCGCTAATCTTTTGCAACCTGTTGATAGCAAATGGAAAAATGTAAGTACAGAAAGGTTTTTTTTGTTTGTATCAATATTAAAAGGGGAAGAAACTCTTCAGAATTTTGCGAGTGTTTCTTTATTTGCGCGATGAAGGAAGACACATTATTGTCCCCTGTGAGAAACTGATCAGCATTCATGTGAAGGTGAATGAAACGGGTTATATGGATCACTTTATGTTCGTAATCTTTGCACACAATTCTGATCAGTATCTCTTCAAAATGGAAGCAAATATTCTGCTCCATATAAAGGCCAGATGAAAGGAGAGAGTCCTGTGGGTGTCAGGCTATCCTGCGCGCCTGACCTGACTTCCCAGGAGAGCCGTGATGTGGGTGAGGAGTGAAGTGCCGGGGTTGAAGGCAGCAATGTGGTACTGAAGAACGAGTCTTGCATGGGTTCCCTCCGTTCCTCCTCTTCCCTTGCTATGCCCCAATTAACTTTTTTTTTTGTGTGTGTGTGTAGGACTTATGAATGGAGTGCATTATATTCAAAAGTTTTCAAACAAAGCAAGCTCCAAAGTGGAACGATTGACCTACTTTTCTTTCCCTCAGATTATGAATAAAGAGGAAGTTGTTGTCCTTTTTCTTTCAATCTAAGTATTGAGCTCCTCCATCAGGGTTTCATCTTGCACTTGATGCAGAGTGCAGGGCTCTTTCCGGGTGATGGGAGCCGGTCAGCGGAACCAGTTTCCCACCTCCTTCTCCAGGAACTGCTTGTTACTCTTGCCTAGGAGGAGGGAGAATTCCTTCTTTCCTTAGTCTTGCAGTCTTCAAACCTGTATTTTCTCCAGAAAATGCTTTAGTTCCTAGGTTGCCAAGTGGTTGAATAGCGAATGTGTGCTGCAGAACCAGCTTCTACTTGTTGTGGGTGTAGGAAACCAAGCAAGGGGGCTGGTTAGTGTAGAAGTTAGAGAAGTGCCATTCACCTTGCCCGGAACCTTCTGTTTTACACCAGTACCTAGCTAATGTAAAGCATACAGCAGGGTTGTAGAAAGGGAACGTACAGCACCACCCCAAAACCAATATTGACAAACCTCAATACTAAGGTGAGTCAGCAGCATTTTTCCCTATGTTTTCAAATATTCCTCCTTTAATATACTCTCTGCTTGTCTCCTGTGCCTTCAAATGCACAACTTTTGGTATGGAGTTCTCTTGACTGGTTGACCTAAGGTAATACTATGAGCGTTTCATGGTTCTGTACTGTGTATTACTCACAGCTTCAGCAGCAGCTGTTGTTTCTGGTGGAGGTCCCTTAGGAGCTAGTTCTTGCCCTTGCACTACTTAATATTTTATCAGTGATGTGGAAGAAAATATAAAATCGTCAGTGATCAAGATGATACAAAGGCTGAGGTAATTTATGAAGAAGACAAGTCACTGCTACAGTGTGATCTGGATTTCTTTGTGACCTGGATGCAAACATACAATATGTGTTTTGATATGGCCAAGAACAAAACCATAGATCAAAGAAAAGCAGTAGGCCGTTATTTGCAGGTAGAAGATTGACACGGATTTTACCTTTAGAAATAGGGAATGAAAAGATCATAATGGATAAACCAGTTGAAAGTGCAACTTTCCTTGGCTAGAAGGCTTAAGATGAGCTCTATATAGTATAGCAAAGAAGTCTTTCACAGAAGTGAAGAGTGTGTATGCTTTCTATATTTGATTCTGGCAGTCGCTACTTTTATTGTTTATAGTGTCTGCTGTTCATGAACGTATTAAAAGACTTAAGAGGATGGAGAGCTATAGAATTCTTAAAGTATTAATGATGTTTTTGTTATTGAATAAGTTTTACCTTTTTTACCCATCTGATAATATATTTAAAGAATGGCTTGAACTCTGTTTTGTAGAAAGGGGAAAAATCTATAACTCCTTTAATACAGAAGAGAAGTAAGTTTTAATGGCTGAAGCTAGATAAATTCACACTTTGAAATAAAATCTTTTCAGTGTAAGCAACTAACTGTTGGAACAATTTGCTAGCAATGGAAGAGAATACCATACCCAATTATTAAGTTAAAAATACTATAATTTCTGTACAGTTACTTTATTTAAAGGAATAATTGACTTGGGGAGTCATCTAGTCTGCATTATGCTAGAGAACAGCCTAATCAGCCTAATAACGGGCCTGATCATAAGGCCTATTGTTCTGATGGAAAAATGCAGAATTGTGGAGAAGAAAATTCTTTCTTCTGTATGGTGTTTGTAAGTCATATATGTAAGAATTCTGATATTTGGAAGGAGACCTCTGGAGCTTTTAATAATGAACAGGATAGCTTAATGGAAACGGTAACAAACTTTGGGTACATAAGTATATGTGCTATTTGTCATTATTTGTCATCACCTCATAGAGTTAGCATAGACTTCTGTAAAGTATGTGAACACACAAGCTAAATGTGTGTAAAATTCCAAGTTTCTTGTCAGACAATGTTGAACCTCTAAAGGGCTTTTGTGCTCTTTTGCAAAATATCTTGCTTCAGTGTCCATCTGTATGCGTGTTTTTTTCTTGCAGTGGTTTATTTTGTCAAATAACATACTGAAATGTTTATAGGACTTTTGCCAAATCTGAATCTTACGGGATAAAGTCTTCTTATTTGATCAAACAATTGATAAAAAGACTTGCTAATAACTAAAGCATTACAGTGGCAAGGGCTATTCTTTTGCATGCATGCAAGAGGAATGAGTTAGTGATTTACTTTATGCTGTCTCATGAGAAAGCATTCAGAATACTTCATCACATTCTCAGAATATAGCTATGATTAAGCTAAATGTATTATTATTATTATAACTATTTAATAAGAATAGAGTTGTTTTTCACAAAGCCCCACATGTAAATGTAGCGCTATAAAGACATTCATTTAAAGCTAAGAAATTTGAAAAAAGGAAAAAATTAAACAAAAAAAGTTACGAGTTTGATTATTCTGAAGAGTGTTGATGAAGCAGTGATACTAATTTCACAAAAAAAAAATGCCAGGTGTCGTTGTTTTTTTTTTTTTTTTTTTTTTTCCAAAGGTCTTGGCTAAATAAAGTACAAATATTTTATAAAAGACCACCCCCAGTACCATTTTCCTGTTTTGGATTTAGTTTATTTGGCCTCTGTTTGGAGAATTAGTAATACATGCCTGGTTTTTGAACTAATTGAAGGTTTAGTGGTTTCAATAAATGCGATTCAAGCTGATAGTTGCACAGTTTGGGAAGAAGTCCAGGAAAGGATATACAGAAGCAACTCTTTAGTAGAATGAACAGACCTTGAATTACAACTCTCTATAATATGTGTGTCCTAGACAAAGAGATGTCCTTGCAGTGGGCGATTAACAGGCATTTCAGATAACGGAACCCTCCTGGCAGGTTGATTAATACTTTTTGTCTTCCTTTACAAGTGTGCTGCTGTATATTGCAGGCAACACATTTTCGGTCTCCGCTTCTTCAACAGGCAGAAAACCAGGCGTCTTCAGCTACCACTCATCAGGGACAGCAGGCTGTAACAGATGTGATCCAGCAGCTCCTTGAGTTATCAGAACCGGGTCCAGTGGAAAACAACCAACCTCAGCAACCGGGTCAGCAGCTCAGCATTGCGGTGGGAATCAATAGAGACATTTTGCAGGTGGGAGCTGTGTATGGCAGCCGTTTTGTATTGCATACAGTTTCTTTCTCATTTCCTTTTCCTAGTAAAGTTTGTTTTCAGTATTTTCAATGATACCATTCCTTCTGCATTTCTGAAGATTTGTTATTGGTTACAAAAGAATTGTAAAGATATATTGAAGAACTACAGAACATGCCAACATTTTTTTTTGGTGTAATTTAACAAAAAACAAGGTTATAAATACTGATAAAATGACCTGGAAGATCACCAAAGATGTTCAGACCTATACATGAACCTTTTATTGATTACTTTTTTCTGTTGTGTAGAAGCATCTTACAACATGTTTAGCTATGCCATTCTTCAAGCATAGCTAATTAAGAAGAAAATATATTTTTATCTGACTTAAACTAGAGTGTCTGTGGGCCCTTATCCTGTTTTAATTGCTATGAAATATTTGCATGTTGCCAGTATGTGCAAAGATTCTGTACTGGGTCAAGCCCGTGTTTGTCTAACCCAGCATCTCCTATTGCCTGTATCAAGGACGGTGCGTCAGCTGTGCAGGGCAGTAGTTCAGCTGTCCATAGTTGGTCTGCAGCCCGCACTGCTTCAAGGCATAAACAGGATGGAACATGGCAGAGAATGTACATGCTCCATACTGGTGGTTGCCTGCTAACTTTTAAGCTATTTATGCATCTCCGGTTAATGAAGCACCATTTGAATTTGTTTTTTGAAGACCTGGATGTTTTATGTTGCCGTATACAGGTTCACTCTATTACGTATGCTACAGTGTATTATCTGGAGAGTTACATACAGTTCCAGTAAAATGTGATAGGAAATGTAACTTAACAGCTATCCTAAAAAATCAGTCCTTGAGGTTGATTCCTCAAACTGTTGAAGAAGGATTTAATCACTAAGCATAGTCGTACAAAATAAAAATAAAATCCGTTTTTCTTCAAAGCGATCAAATATCTGCACATTCTTGCTGAAATGTGTGTTTGAAGTAGCTGACTGGAAGCCTTTCCAGACACAATAGCATCCTTAATGGTGCCCATACGCCAGTCCCTTCAACGGGATTATATATAAAGAGCAAGACGTTGCTCTTCTGTCTGCCAGATGGTTGTCTGTAACTTATTGAGAGAGGCTTTGAGCTTTTCCAAGCCTTTGATTTAGTGTTATTTCTCTTATACCCTCTATAGTTTTTCACCAAGCTGATGCTTCAAGTTTGTCTTTTTACGGGAAACTAGTCTTTTGTTTAT